GAAATTATCTCTTATTCCATCCAAGGAGTTCTTTTATTTAACAAAGAGTGAGGAAGTGTAAAGGGGGAATGTTAAATATGATCAGTACACTTGTTTTACCTTATAAACAAAATAATACAATAACAACTACTGCAGCTGTTCAAATGATAAGAAACATATTCTTCTTAATATCATTTGCATGGCACACATGAGTCTTTAATACTCTTGCTTAAGAGTGTACATCTGTCTGGAGGATGGCTGTGTCATCCATTCTGACATTAACAAGTTGTTAGGCAAGCATTTAATAGTCTTATATCAACAGCATGTTGTGTGTTGTGGTTGGTTGAAATATCACTCATATGCAGTCAGCTTTGGACATTGATAATTGTGCTTTAGTACGCATATGGGACATTGACTTTAAAGACAAAGTTGTTGTAATCAGCTTGAGGCACTTTAATTTAGTTGAAGCACTACAAGTGACTTCTTTGTTGCATTTTATATAGATTGTAAACATTATAACCAATAATTTGAATAGTAAACTAGACCATGCTGAAATGGGCCAGAGGCATTAAGTTGGGGGCCCAAAGGGGGACATGTCCCCACTTCCTTGCCCTGTATCTTTGGTTTATCTCAACTTCAAACCTGTAAAGTTATTGAACGTTTCATGTTGACAGAATTGCCCAAAGACAGTGGGAGAAATTACTCAAAATTGCTTCTGTGGAACTTTCTGTAACGGGAAACAATATCAACCGAACCCTGTCATGGGTGGGTCAAAGATAATGAAAATCAACTCATCGCTGCTGGATGAAAGGAGCCCTGTTTTTTTTTAGAAGTCACAGTTAACGAAGGTTTACTTTGAGTCTACACATTTAAATGGACAATTCAAACAATTAGCTTGGCTTATGCTTCTGTAATCATGAATGCCTGGACTGAAGGATCACTGGCTCTAAAGTGCAGACTGGAAACCAGTCTCTACGTTCAGGCATTCCACACCAATCTGAGAGATAGGCTTTGTCAAACAAACACACACATGCACAGTGTGCAACAGACTGACTGAAAAGGAATTCTGGGCATTTTGAGAAACGTGATAATTTCTTTACTTTCTCAGAGTTGGATGAGAAGATTGATACCTCCCTCACGTCTGTCTGTTCATTGTAGCCAACAGACAGAAAACAGTCTGGATTTATCCAAAGGAGACAAAATGCTACTACAAGCACCTCAAAAGCTCCCTTATAAGCCACTTTGTTTGTTAACGGTACATAAACAACAATTTTCGGTTTCCCTAGGGGTTGTGTAGGGCTATTTCTGGGTCGGCTTTCGGATGCAGTTGTTAAGAAAATATGGCATACTTGAGATGCAAATGTTAAAACTTTAAGATCCCAGCACACCAAGACCACTTTCCAGTGAAATAAACCAAGTCTTGTCTGTGACATATTTGGAGGCACAATGGAGGCATGATATGCTCAGGACCTGATTTTTTCAATGCAGTTTCCATGCACGCTGCTGAAAATACACACTATCCCACCACAGAGGCCCCTGCTGCCCCATTCATTGCTCCAACCATGAAAGGGTCCATTTAAAGCCTCAGAGGCTGGACATGACCTGAGTTTACTGTCTGGGTGTATTCGCCTTCCCTCTATGCACACTCAGGGAATACACAGGCCATATGGACCTGATGAGGACTGTAGGACCCTGTTGAAGGCGCAGAGCATATTTGTGACCTACACTCCCAGTATTATTTAATGTATATTATTTGTATCCAAATAAGTCACAGGCTTAAGACAATTATGATCTTCATGAAGTATTTATGTTATTATTTTTATTTTGTATTTGTTAGTTCAAAATGCAGAATATTTAATTAGGCATTGTATACAGTTTTCTATTAGTTCAGTAAATGCAATTCCTAAAACGCAGTAATAGTAATGGATGGTTGTAGATGAAAAGTGTTTGCATCCTTTCATCTGAGGGTAGAACCTTATTCAAAAAGTATTTTTGGGGCCAACCCCAGAGAAGAGAGGACATACTGGAGAGACATGAGAAGAATGTTGAATGTTGACCTTATTTCTAATGTAGCCCTGCTGAACAAACAGGTGGGAAACTTTGTTTAGAACCTTACCACACATATTTAAATAGTGTTACTCAAACATATACCTAAGCCAGGTTCATTTCTAAAAAAGATATAATATTCATATTTAACTGGTTTGAGTAACACAACAGGGTTATTATTGCTAAAACAGTCTCATCTCCAGCCATAGTTCTACAACCGAACAACCAGCAACAGTAGCATAACGTTTTGGGCCCACTTGTCTGCTGTCATTAGCTTAATTTCCAGCACCAGGCAATTTATTTCTCAGTAAAATAGAGAGTCTTTATCTCTCCAACTAAATAAATGAAGTCTGTGTCTCTAATGAAATATCATGCAAGAAGCTCCTGAGCTTTAGTATTAGCCCACTGCATGAAAGAAAGACATGACTATAAACAACTAACGTTCTCTCTGGATGAGAGCCTCAGCTAAATGACTACAAATACCAATATTCATCCCAGTGACTGCTTTGTACTTCATAATGTCTTGTACGATGTGAGGGTCTAAGGACAGAGGGTGTCGTATTGTCATACTGATATTCTGTACAAACTGTGAAGTCGACTGAGACAAATGTAACATTTGTGATATTGGGCTATATAAATAAACATCGATTGATTGATTGATTGACAGGATCATTACCTCAGGTTGCCAACAGAGGCAGTAATAGTCCTTCTCTGTCTTTTTTGCCACCCGAAACTTCACTTTTGCAGTTTCTACCCTTCCTCCTGTACTCCACACTCACACACCTTTCACTTAAAGTATTTTATTAGACTGATATGCAGACTTGAATTAGCATTTTATTAAGAAAAAGTTGTAGAGCTTTTTGTCAACCTAATCTGATATGAAAAACATCCTGTAGTCATGAAAGTTGTCAAATTGTAATATTTTATTTGTACAAAATACATAGTAATGTACAGTTATATCAGCAATGTTGATCTCTTCAAATATGTTTATAAGCTAAATCAACAGCAACTAAGTCAGATTTGCTTTTCTTTCTATTTTCTCGGCCGAATCATTCCCAATGAGAATCTCTCTCCTCCTCAGGCTGATGCGTTACGTCGGAGGGAGGAAGGAGGATCGAGTGTCTGCCGTTCCTCCCATCACCTGTGAAATTTCAGAGCCAGGCCACGGTGAAAGGGGGTATTGTGTCCCCCTGATGAGGAATGCCCTTGCGTCGCTCCTCAAAGAAAAGGCTTCATTTGGCCAGGAATTTGGAGGCATCTCGAGAAGTGTAGGGGAGATTTTCTCTAGGGGTGGGGATGAGAAGCTGAAGGTCTTCACAAGCCTGGACAGCAGAAGGTCAAGCCTCCCTTAACTGATACCCAATCTCTGTAGTTATGATAGTTTTGCATTGATCCAACAAAAACCTCAGAGCTATGGGTGGTAGGCCTACATTTTTTTCTTTGTGACCCCCTTAAATCTTTATTGAACAAATGAACCATTTTCATGAAAGTTAAAATGCACAAAATGCATAATACAATGTAAGAATATTAGTTGAAGAAGGAAAGCAAGTTATGTTATCCTTCATAGAGTAGTTGGAAATGTCACATTCATTACTGCTGCAGCAGCTGTTATTTCACATGGCAAGGCTGACACCTGCTGGTGAAAGACAACAACTACACTTTAAATATGTAGGGCTGTTAATTTTCCTCTGTTTATTAACTTTACAAACACAACAGTATTTTTGACACCTGTACAACATATAAATAATTAGCATTAATATCTTTATAGTTTGCTTGCTTTTGGATTTGTGCTCAGTGACAACTGGAGAACATTAGATATGATACATAAATAGATTTCTTCAGTCAGGTCACTGTCAAATCTCACCTGAAGTGTTACAGAACCGACCTCTCTGCATTTCACTGAAAAGGTTTAACTTGTTGATTGTCATTGTGGCCACTAGACGACAGCATGAAAACACAAATGTAAATACACTCAGCTCAACTTGTATGTACAAATAAACAAAGTACCTTGTCTAAGTAAAATTTTGGATATACTGTCCTTAACCCTAATTTTGAGTCTTCTCATCGTGGACCACAATCCCCTGCCTCTATACCGTACAATTGAGCCTTTTGGAGGACAGGTCGGGCCGGGGCTAGCTGGTTAGCATGTTAATTGCAGCAGATAACTCAACAAAAATAATACATAGTGATCTTTGAAATAACATCAACACTGTTACCTCTTGACATTATGTTGACTTTGCCCCTTTAACACCATTTGAGAATATACTGTGCAGTTCCTCACTTTGACCACTGATGGACAGAGAACATTTAACACTTTAACTACAAGAGTTGGACTATTCAAATGCACTTTAGTTAATTACCCCAAGAGTTTATATTATTAAAAATAATAGAACAATAGAAAATAATTCAAACAAAAGTATAACCTTTCTATACAAGACCCTTACAAATGAAACCTCTACATGTAAGAATACTGTTTTTTGTTTGTTGTATTAATCTATCTTTAAATTAAAAGATACTGCTACTAAACAACTGCGCTACACCAATATCAACACTTTCGGTAAGAGACGTATTTGAAAAGTAACTTATAAAATATATTTGCCATAGTTATAGATCATCTTATAAAAAAAATACAAACATGGGTACTTCACATCAACACACATTACACATTTAGAAGTACACTTTCTTATAATGGAATTTACCAATCTCATGTAATAGTTGCACTAGAGTGATTTGATTAGAGCGCCATTTTAACTATCCCCAAACATTCTCTGTGCTTTCAAAACTGTCTCTGCTGTTAACATGTTAAGCACATTTGGTTGAATGTGTGTTGGGATCTTATACAGTCTATGGTTGGGATTCAGAAAGACTCGTTAGTTCTCCTAATCCCTTGTCAAACTTGAATGTTACTACTCCAGTCCGAAAGGTGGCTCTGTTAGTTGTCTTCCGCCAGAAATCCGCAATAGAAGAAGAAGAGCCTGGCGGAAGTGGGTATGTTTACTGGCTGCAGCGGCAGGCGGGTATTTAATGTAATATTTCACTTCAGCTTTTAATTATTTGTTCAAACATTGTACTAATGGCTGCATTTAATGTCCTAGAGTCATACGATATGTTATAGTCAGCAACAAAAGGTAATAAGGAAAAATACATGCATGTGATATGAGCTTCGTTCACATAGCACGGGGCTAGGTCTGAGCTAGCCCAGTGTAGATGCAGCATTCAGTCTCTATTAAATACAAGGCAGTTTATATGATACAACAACACTTCGGCTTTGTAAGAAGTAATCATGTTGGTTTTTTAATTTGGCAGTGTTTGTTTTAAAAATAGCTCACGTGTCACAACATGTATGTTAATAACAAGTAATGTAAGAAAGTGTCTTACCCACTTATTATTGTGTTGTAAGACCACATCATTCATGTGGAGGGACTTGATGTCTGTGTTACCAATAATTACCTATTTAATAACTGTTTTAGTTGAATGCTTCACTTTGAAAAAGGTCTCTATTCATCTGGTCACTATTTTTCCCATTATTCCAGTAGTGTTGTGTAACTGTTTCTACTCTGCCTACTATCCTACAGGGAAATGGACACAAATGAGGACCTGGTCCAAACAACCAGCAGTAAAACACTGCTTATCCGACACTTACCATCTGATCTAAGCCAGGGCGAGAAAGAAGACCTGTTGAAGTATTTTGGAGCTGAGACAGTCAGGGTCTTCTCTAACACAGGACGCTTGGTAGGTTGTGCTTTACTGAAACTTAGTGTGAGCTTTTGCATCTATTAATTAATTGGAGCTGCTGTGTATTCTAATACGATGTTCATCTCCACAGAAACATGCTGCATTTGCAAGCTTTAGAAGTGATAAGTCAGCAGCAAAAGTGAGTTATTTATGCAATGTTTCTAGTTATATGACATTAAACAAAGCTTTGCATGCATAATAGAGGTAAATGCAATCTGTTCTTTTCCCAATCCCCATTTGATCTATTTCAGGCTCTTCAGAGGCTCCATCAATTAGAGATTCTTGATCAAACACTTGTTGCAGAGTTTGCAAAAAGCCAAGATCATGTAACAGTATTAAAGGACCCATCAGTTTCCGTCAGGTAAGTGTCCTAAATCATACACATTTGATCTACAACCACTGTAGTTATCAGAAATGTTACTTTGAACATGGATGTTAACCTCCCAGCTTTAGTGTAAACATATTCTCATCACATTTAAACTAAATCAAAAACCATCGTATACAGAACCAAGGAGGAGAGCTGCAGTTGAATCCTTTTTGTTTCCTTTTTTCTTCAGTGGAAAACAAGCCAGGAAGGAGCAGAAGAAACAGGAAACCAAACTACCAAACATTCCCCTCATAGAAACCGGCATTGCACCTAACCTTGGGTGAATGTTAAATACAAGTTCATTTGGAGTTGTGTTACAGTGTTGGTGTAATATGAGCTAATCTGGATGCAATGATAGCTAAATTGAACAAGGCATGCTGTTTTTATTTTTCGTTTTTTTTGTCTGATATATTTGTTAGAGTAAATACACAAGCCATGGGTCATTCTGAAGTGCATCACATTATTATATTATAGGCACCGTATTGAATTATAGTACTGGACCTCGCCCTGTCTTGTGAGGTTAAAGAATGGAGTTTGGTATCAGCCCCTATCTCCCTTTGCCAAATCATTACCCACCCGAGTGATACTAACTACAATTGAACGTGCATGTAAGACACATGCTGTCCAAACCTGGAGTTGTCCGTTTATGTCTAAACGCTGTCTGGAGACTTGCTGACAATAATCCTGGATGAGAATCTGGGAGCACTTTTCAGGGCCGGCAACTGCCTTGTGTCCAATTAAACGGGCAGGCCGTCTGTGCTGCCAGTTGGTGGGCCCAGGTGGTCTTTGATAGCTCTCGCTCCATCCTACCTTGTGCTCAGATAAAACCTGGAGCAGCAGCATCTCCTGATATGATGCGGTTAGCTTGATTACATATTTGTTGTTTAGCTGATCACTCTTAGCATCCAAAGCATTCGCTGGTAAAAAAAAAGAAAAAGAAAGTCTGGCACTGTGCCTGTTACTACAGCTGGGTCTAAAACACATCATTAAGGGCTTAATACACTACCTTATATTATAATTGAATCAGTGTGTATTGTAGTACAATGTGCACATTTTTACTTTCACATCCTATGTTTGGATATGTTCTTATTTTGTATTTATCATTTATTTTATTTCCCTCTAAAATGGACCAAGCTGTTACAAACCCAACTTGTGTTTTTCTGTAATTCATATTTTAATTGTCTTTTTAAGATTTTATCATGTTTTTTTTGATCATTTAAGTTAAATTAGTGTATTCTCCTATGCATAATTACCCATTCATCTAAATTGATAAATGATTAAATCTGTTTTAAATGTTTTCGATTGAACTAACTGACCTACTAGGATTTTCATATTCCTCTCAGTCCGAGCAGAACTGTCAACAGCTTCCTTTGTCACCCAGCCAAAAGGCAGATTAAACTAAATTCACTGTCACTTTAAGTCTTTGTTTATTAGGCCTCAGTAGATTTTGGTTTGTTCTCTTGTGCCACACAGAGTCTTGGCTTATAAAAGTTTTTATTACACAAGGACAAGCTTTGGTGCTGCTGACATGGCATGCTGGCCCCAACGTCCCTTAATGGCTGAGTTTCACATTCTGTTGGCTGAGTGCTTGCCATCTAGAGAATAAGCCACCTGGCTGGACCTCATATTCACGTGTCTCTATTATTTAGACATATTTTGTGAGTTGAGAATGTAATGTGTGTTGTTAAAATGCAGCTACAGAGTTTCCTTTGAAGTCATTTTGTTTTTTCCTTCCACTCTCCTACAGGTTGAAATTTCAATCGAATCCCACTTTGAAATATTTATACCCACCGCTTTCTAATGGCATTCTGACAAACATAACACACGCCCTCATCAGTGTGCCAAAGTTTTATGTTCAAGTGAGTAAATCCTGCTTCTTTTATATCATTTTCTTCTTCTCCCAGTTACCTGCAAGTCTTTGATATGCAGATGTTGGTCAAATGTGTAGATTGTACTTTTTACATTTCCCCTTTTTGTCGTGGGAATTAGTTAAAAGGAATGCAAATGTGACAGATTCATATTGTTGAATGTACAAAGGAATATCCCAGAGGTTTTTGAACTTAGTCCAGCCTCTTAAGATCAAACAGCAAACATTTGCCTTTTTTAAATTTCAATTTTGGGACCAAGTAGTAATAATAAACCATAAGTGGGAGGCATGAGTTATGGGTTTAACATTTCCCTGGGAGCCATACTGCCTGTGTTTTCAGTGCTGTTTACAGCGTTGGCGTCTTGGTGGTGCTAGTGTGTCGCAGAGAAGCCTCACCGCTGCTATCTCGCTTCAGCCTCTATCTCAGTTTTACATATGGAGTCACAGGCTGCCTGTCTGAGAGAAGCAGCATCTTTATATTACCAGCTTTCTGCCAGCTTTTGGTATGAATCATATAAGATACAATTATCACGGTCTCATTCTCATATCTCCAATTCAACAGGTACTACACCTGATGAACAAGATGAATTTGCCATGTCCGTTTGGCCAAATCACTGCCAGGCCCCCCATGGTAAGCTTGAGTGCATTACTGTTGTCTAAAGGAAAACAAGCTAATAACGGAGTAGTTTTAGGTGGATGGATAGAATGTATTTGATGTTAAGGCAATACTTTTTGTTATGGACTGGTAACATGTCTTCTTTCAGACTAGTGGGAAGAAACATACACAATACTTTTAGGTGTTTATTTTACTACACTTTTACTACACTACACGTCTATTTGCGGCTGTGGATTTATCCTTCATTTATTCAACAGCATTGAATAAGGCTCTTTTGAACATTCAAATAAACAATTTTAGAAAAACCTTTAAAACTAAATAGTTTCAATGCAAAATGTTTTTTCTCATAGCACTGATAAACACCATCTGTACAGTTACATTACTTTTTATATTCTTTGAATGAAGGGTTTGTTCACATATCATTTGAGTACACATTTTGAAGAAGTCCCCTGGGGCTCTTGTGATGTGAGCATTGTTTCCAGCATTTCATTACCCAAATGATTCATTTAGGAAATAATCATCAGATGAATCGATCATTAAAATCACCATCAGTTACAGCCCTATAAACTACACTTTTTATAAGTCATATATTATTTGTGTGGCTAATATTTGAACACAAGTAGTGCTTTCATTTAAACATAGTATCGCTCCACCCTACTGTGATAGTAAACATGGATCATGGCTCCATATGTATTTCACTTTGATATTTGCAAACCAATAAATCCGAGTTTTGACCGAGGCACCGCAGCAAAGACAACGCTCATGAAATCCGTCAGTTGAAGCCAGACTGATTGTAACCCTAGCCATGTTGCTTTGTTTCCTGTAGTATGAGCACCTGCCTCCTGCACCACCCTTCCCCATGCCTCCTCCCTTCCCTCCTGAATACCCCCCTTTACCCGAGGAGGACATGGAGATGTCCAGCGGAGAAGAATCAGAGTATGAGAGTGGGGAAGACGAAGACAAAGAGAGGTGCGGAGGAATTGGAGATCACTTATCCCTGCACAAACATTTGAGACTCTCATTTAGTTTTGCATTAAATCGACAAAGCCAGTAGATCCAGTGCCTTAACATGTCATTCAGAAGTAATAATGTTTCTAGAAACACAATTGGCTTGAGGGGAAATGTCTTTAAATTCCAATCGGTGGGCGATTTTCTTTTTTGTTCAAGGTAGACATTTGTGTCCTTTATTCCCTATGCGTGCTTTATTTCAGGATTGTTCGTCTGATGGGCCTGGTCAACCAAGCATGCAAGAGACCCTTGAGACCAAAAACAGCTTCAAAGAGAAAGAAGCCCAGGATCAAGGATCTACTCTACGCTCCCAAAGCAGACTCTCAGAGGTACAGCAAAGGCACTCATGCATGTCACAGTCCTCAAGCAGAGACAGTATTCACAGGCAGCTTAAAAAAGGAGAACAAAACCCTCCAGACAAATGTCTTCCTAAATAAAGACCGCCTTTAGTGGCTCAGAGGCTTATTGTTGCTGCACGCACACACACTCCCTTAATGATAGACCACAAACTCTGTTTCTGAAAATATAAATACACACACACCTCAGTGGGTTCGTGGACTGGGAAATATCTCTGGTTGACCACAACCCTTAAGCCACCCAGGTGCCGGTTTACTGTGGGCGCTTTTTAGAGGCTTCTGTTGAGGGGGGTGCTGTTTGTCTCTGCTGTCCTCAGTGCTCCCGTGCTGCAGCCCTCCGACGTGTTCGAGCAGCCCCCCTCCGCCGTGCAGAAGAAAATTGAATTCCACATTGCGGTTCCAGAGGCGGCGGCGGCGGCGACAGAGGAGGGGAGGGAGCCATGCCAGTCTGAAGATGAAGGCAGAGGTAAGGGACCTTAGATCTTCACCTACTCCAACGTGTGATCACTTTCATATCCACACACAGAGAAAAAAGTACATTCAAGTTTTTTTAGAGCCCAAAGTGATGTCAAAGTACTTATTTCACGTTGATTTAAACCAGACAAAAGCAGCAGTTCCTCCATATTTAAAAAGCTTTAATCATCTGTTATTTGGGCTTAAAAAGGCGATTAATAGATTATTACATATTTTCTCAATTATTCGCACATTTTTGCACTAATCTTGAATTAAATCCAGTTAGCAAAGTGAAGCCAGAAATCAAGTTTTATTTATATAGCACATTTATAAACGATTTTTGGTTGAGCCAAAGTGCTGTACATATAATAAAAATAGCCTACAGTAGAGACACTTTACAGCAAATACAACAGCACAGATTGTTCAGAATATCAGTATGAGAAAAACGACCCCCTCTGTCCTTAGACCCTCTGTCCTTAGACCCTCTGTCCTTAGACCCTCACATCGTACAAGGAAAAACTTCCAGAGAAAACCCACAGTTTAAGGGGAAAAAATGGGAGAAACCTCAGGGAGAGCAACAGAGGAGGGATCCCTCTCCCAGGACGGACAGACGTGCAATAGATGCCGTGTGTAAATCGAAGAGATAATACATTTTACAGCATATAGACCGAATGTTATGAAATGCATGTGTCTGTAATAAGAAGATGAATCCACGAGAATGTCAGCTACAATCCTGTGAAGCCATCAGGGAAGCAGCATGACGAGACCCAGGCAGGACCGCAGAGACAGGTTCAGCCACGACCCGAAGTCCACGACTTAATCCAGAACTCAGGATAGAGGATCCAAGACACAGGACTACAGCAAGAGGATCAGCCTCGACTCCGAATCCCGGCGTAGATATAGATACAAAACAAGAAAAAAAGATTTGGCTGGGTTAATCGGAACAAGAGAATACACAGACACAGACAGAGAGGGAAAAGGTCATTGGATAAAAGTTATTCTTCATAACCCTCTAGAAAGATCTCATGAACTTCCCCACTCAATCTATCAAGACCCGAGCAGTTCTATTAGATATAGATAAGAAACAGAGAGAGGGAGCAATGTTGAGTATACCAACGTTTTATGTTAGATATGTATAGTATGGGTCCTCCCCAGCACATAGAAACTGCCAGATGCTAACCTGCATATGATGGGCAACTTGCACAATTATCATACGTTGCCTTAATTGAAATGAATGGCATTATAGCCTATTTAAACAATACTTTAGGCGGTCATTGAGAATGCTGAATCCATTTCTAACGCATTTTCAGGATAAAAAAATGGTAGTTTTAACCAGAAAGTGGCCATATTTGTAATCCTGCCGGGCTGACTTCATGTCAACTGACTAATAACATAAAGTTTCAGTTTTCATTTTGAATGATATCCTCTGTTTCCTATCTTTTATTGATTATATGTGTCTTTGGGAAGACCTTAGCGAAGTGAATCTATAAACTCAATTCACTAATTATCAGTAAGTAACACAAAAAGGCCTATTTTACAACTGGCTAGTAAACATAAATCAGAGGAATACTATAGTCTGCACACACATTGGGGGAACAGTATAAAAAGAGCACTGCCTCTCGTCTTTTGAGCAGGAATGTGAGGATTTGATTATTGCTATACATCATGTTTATTATCACATTGTAGCACAGAAGGTGGTTTGATACTCCTATTGACATAAGCTAAAGCCCTTAACATGGATGAAGTCAGAGCCGAGTGTCACACAGCAGTATATCACAGCAGAGAAAGTCGCACAGAAAAGGTTTTACCTTTATCTGTATGAGGAAATGTCATTGGAGGCACAGCCTGTGTTACTTGTCAGCTGTGCAGTTCCTCGTCTGCCTTATCTCCCTTCTCTCTAGCTACAACTTCACTCCCTGGCAAGCCTCTGAGAAGTAAAATAGATCTCAAAGTCAAACACAAAAGATTTCCTAAAGGCAGGGAAAGATAAACTATGACAGGTGGCTTTTTGGATTAGTCTTGTTTTGGGGAAGGGGCTGTGTGTGATCCGATAAACAAGCTAATTAAATAGAAAGGGGAGGCGGGAGGTGGGGGACAGATAAGGAGGAGGATCATTTTGAAAGCACTGATCTAGTTCTCTGCCGAGAGTGTATCAGAAAAGCTCCCCAACGATTCTCGCTCCGGTGCACACACACATACATCTTCCTCGGATTTGTACAGCCTCACTGCTCTTAGTAATTCCATCTACTACGTGTGTGTGCTCCTCAAAAGTCTGCCAGCGTTATCCCTCCCACTGTCTTTCAAACTCATGTTTGCAAAACAGGAATGGATTTTGATTTGATTACAGTTCCTAATCTGACACACATTGAATGTGCTTATGCCTCTCTTCAAATATCATGCTAAAAGACGGCATTTCTCACATTAAAGCAGAAACTAAAATCTTTATTTTTGACTCGTTTAGTTTATAATGCCGGCACGGTTCAACATTATAAACATCAATATGGTGAATTAGGATTTGCTTCCACTCTCCCGTCCTGAGTTTGTTTGGTTTACTGGAGGATAAACACTGTGGAAGTGATTACTTCACCATCTGCTTTTGTCAGACACTTTGAAAACTTCCATGTGTAGTTGTGCTGGAGGGAGAGTGTCTGTTCTCTCTCATAAACACATACCGGTAAAATGAAATACGGCTCAGCTTCTGCCAACATTTCTTCCAAAAGTAATATAGTTACAACATGATCAAGTGTTTTGGAACTTGTGTGCCCCTTTTTAGAAGTGGATGAGTTGGAGCCCCCCCCCAGCAGTGGTCAGGAGGTGACAGAGTCGGAGGGTTTTGGGAAGCTTTACCCCAGCACTCAGGCGTCCCGACAGGAGGAGGAGCACAGTGACGACGAGGAGGATCTCCCCTCTGATGTCATCTCCAGGAAGGAGCTGGAGAAAGGACGGCTGTCAAGAGATGGTATGCCCCATATTTGCATGCTTTTTTGGGTTTATTCTGGGGGGTTTTATTTACTGCTACCCTAAAGACACGGATGTTGGAATCAGGAAAGGGATTTTATTGCCCTAAGGATAGGGATGCATATCGTTGACTTTTTTACGATACCAATACCGATACCACTGAACGATACCGATACTCCACCGATACATATCGTGATACTTTGAAAATGTATCATCCCACAATTACTCCCATGAAGCGCTTTACGATATAGTTAACATGTCAAATGAATATTAAATTCAATTGTGGGACTTCTTGGACCTTTTAGTTCTGAACAAACAATGAAAGATACATAACAAATATGAAGAAAACCGATTATGGAATATCTTTTATAACCCCCGCCATCAGGTGTGCCGCGTGAATAGCACATCTTGTCAATGCAAACAGACCGTTATAATTAATGTTAAACCTGAGATTCGACTAGAGAACAAATACATAATAGAATAAAGGTCATGAGATCTCGGCATTGCACAAACAAACAAATCTCATCTTTAAAATCAACATTTACCTTCATGGTGAGAGAAAACAAATCCCATCACAGTTCATTTGTGGGACTTTTACCTTTCTAGTATTGAACAAACAAAAATACATAAAATATGAAGAAAAACGATTATGCAATCGAATTTATAACACCCGCCATCACGGGCCACGGACTCACTTTTAAAAAAAAATTTTTTTAAAAGTATCGAAACCGGATCTGATTTCGGTACGGTATACCGTAGCCACCAGTAACCGGTATTTCGGTGATACCGGTATGCATCCCTACCTAAGGACCAACAAAACTAGTCTCAAAATGGGAAGTAGTGGCAGGAAAGTAGAAAAACGAGTTGATTGATAAAATGAAGGAATAAGTTATTCAGGTTATGGAATACTAACCCAAGAATGATTGTATTCATGCTGTTGATCCTGTACAACAGTGACCTTTTTAAACTTTTAAAATAAAAATCATTTTCCTTTAGAACCATTTTCTTGCCTCTCACAAATCCTGTTCTTTATAGAAATGATACAAGATGAATGTTTTGGTTCTTTAAAGTAATATCTAAAACTCAAGTCTTCACTACAATAAAACCACATTTGATGATTACTTTTTTTCTGTAATGTAAATATTGGAACAAGTACTGAGCTAGAAATGTATTTGTGGAAATGTAAAACATGTCTTAACGTCCATTAATACAGCAAACACCAGCTGAGTCTCATATCTGAAAATATCTGTAACCATGGCCAAATCACTTTGTATCTCGTTCTTCAGTTCAGTCTATCTTAAAACCCTTCAGGGATGTTATTGAGTTTAGACTATTTAGAATGTACCTTTGCTCAGGTGATGATCCCTTGTACCTGTTTTTGAGAGCCACCTTGCATCACGTTTCTTTTTCTTCTTCTCTCCTTTTGAAACAGAGATAAAAAGGATGTCTGTTTATAAGAATTACGACTCGGGTGAGCCAACCTGCAGACTGTACGTGAAGAATATCGCAAAGCAAGTGGAAGAGAAAGTAGGTACATTTATAGCGCTTGACCCACTTTGGGTTACTGGATATGAGGCTTATTCTGGAGTTTTCATTTATTGCTTAAGACTGTGCATGTCATCGTATGTCATTCGGTGTTAAAGTTACATTTTGCTGTGGGTTTTAAGATGACTTCTCCTTGAACAAAAGACATATATATTACATATTCTTTCCTGATATTCGTCATTTGTGTTACAGGACCTGAAGTATATCTATGGCAGATACGTCAACCCTTCATCAGAAGCCGAGAGAAACATGTATGTAAACAATGTCTTTATCTCTTATCAACGTCGCGTGCCCTGCCTTTCATGAGCTATTTTTATACGCTGGCAATTTGTCACTTTCCTCTGAGAGTTTTTAGTAATTCATGCTGACTGCGTGTTATGTTATTAATAAGTATCTAACCTGACATGGAGATCATGAGGGACATTTAATGTTTGTACATCAGCATTACTTGAAATGAATATTCCACCTGAGTCATCGAACCGAGCTTATGTTTCGTAGAGAGCCAAACTCTGAACGCAGATGTAAGTGATAAACGTGAAGATGCAACTCTGCCAGAAAAACAGTTTGCCCTTTGGTAACCCATCACTGTTTGAGGGTAACTTCAGTTTATAATGCAACTTTCTTATCATTAAACCCGTGTGCAAGCATGTCCTTTTGTCTGCTAAACTTAGACTTCTTATAGGTTGCATGAAATAAAGAATTGCGATTATTTTTAAATAACGCAATTAAGATATGATCTGTACCAAACAGATGTTTTTTGAAATAATGATGGGACCTTCTCTGCAGCACCAAAATAGTTGATTCACAATGAACAGGAACATTTGTATTAATTGTGCAGCCCTATTTTCTTATACAGAAGCAGATGGCCTTTGCACCTGTAACACTGGTTTTATCTACGGTATCATGTTGACTCGGCTTTAATCCTGGAGAGATAATGATGTGTCTGTGCTTTTTTCTCCTCAGGTTTGACATTGTGTTAATGAAGGAGGGGCGGATGAAAGGGCAGGCCTTCGTAGGACTCCCCAGCGAGCAGAGTGCCGAGAAAGCCCTGCGGGACACCAACGGCTACGTTCTCTATGACAAACCCCTCGTCGTCGTATCCTTTTACCTCTCACATGAACAAGAAACAAGGACAAGATTTTCTAAGGAGTCGAGGCCTGGGTAGGGTTTGGTTATTTGGGGCAGTTAGACACAGATTTGAAGTATATACAATTGTTATTTTTACTGCAACAATATTTGATCAATTATTTAGACACATTTGAGGAATGGTCTAGAATTGAGACGCCTGTTATTGAGGGAAAAAAGTCTGTGGTTCTACTAAGTTGCCCTAAAACACAAAACAAATATATTGGTGATGCACATAGCAAGTCGGGGCTCATTTGGTTGTGTAATATCAACTTCCTGTTCAATATCAGAAGGCCATTTTATTGAATTAATGAGGTATAAACTCTTTGCCTACACCGTTTTGTGCAGTATATTATATTACATGGAAAGTGTCTCACACAAGTGACCAATTAAGAGCTGGTATCTATACCAAGGAACAGGATCAGATGTCACTGAACATACACAAAGGAGCAGTTAGGAGGTGGTGTTTGGGTATAATAAGGTGGGCACCTCCATCACAGCAGCGGTGTTGGCTTTGGTCCTCCGTGCCTTCAGGAGGATGAGCGCTAATTTTCTGGCAGCCCCAACCCTCCACCTGCTGCTCCTCGCCTCCGCTCCCATAATTACACATCAACCTTTGAACTTGTCAAACGGAACACGGCTATTGATTTTGATGCCGTTTTAATTTGCATCCCATAACCAATTAGCTCGGCGACAGCATATTAGTCTTTGAGTTCAGAGAATGAACCGCCAAGTCTGCAGCGTGATTTATTAGTTTGAGATGTCCTGCATGTGGCTTTATTCAGTGGCAGGCTTCTTTGCTGGAGTAAGATGTTAGAGGAAACGGCCACCATAAATATTTTAGAAATGTTAACAGCTATCATACTTTACATTTTCATATTTTTTCATAATCAAAATAGAGCACAACATTGATTATAAGCATAGACTATATATACATTATTATTTATTATGTTGTTGGTTATAAGCTGCATTTGTAGTTTGTAGTTTCTTTCCATTTAGAGCAGTGCTTCTCAAAGTGTGGTCCGCGGACCACTGGTGGTCCGTGAGCGCCCCCTAGTGGTCCGTGAGTATATTGCTAACATTTCACATTTTAAATAAATAAATAAATGTAAGTTTTCCGCACTCTCGCGGAAATATCTCCGCAATGGAGCGAGCTGAAGTTTCAATTGCATTATATAGCCCAGCGCAACACCTTCATTACACATGTTTTCACTTGTTTGTACCATTTTCAGGCGATTTGTAATCTGTTCTAGAAAAACGATGTGTTTTTGGATATTTGTGGAGTTAGGTGGTCCGCGAGTGTTTTTTTATTGGTTACGTGGTCCTTGGTATGAAAAAGTTTGAGAAACACTGATTTAGAGCATCAAAAAGTCAGGTTCATGTTAGTACAGATGTCTTTTTAAGCAGTCAGACGACAGCCGGTCCCAGTTCAGATTCCCTGTAATTATTTTTTCAGTGCTAGCTAGAGACTGCAGTATGGCACTTGCCAGAGAATCCCCGAACAGCCTGCTACTGAAATGAGCGAGCCGGAAGAAAAACCTGCAAGGAACACTAGTTGTTTAAAGTGTAAGGTTTATTATGAGACAACACTCCAGTGGCTCCTCTCTCCCTTTATTGAACCTGCCACATCTGCAAAGCGTTTCAATCTATGTGAACAACATTAGCTGTCACTTAGTGAGTTCCAGAAAGCAGGACACCAAAACTCTCAAAAGGTCTGTTTTTGGTCAGTCGGCTTGTGGCATTTATGAACCAACAGCTTCAACCTTTCCTCAGATTGAATTCATGCTCCAAACCACATGAGAAAAAAACATGACCGTATATGAGCATGATACGAACTATGACTTTCCTTCTGTGAACCCTTGCCTACAGCTGAAAGTGTCTTTTCAGTGAGGTTGCCGTTTTGGTTTATACTTTCTGTGGTGCTATCGAGTTAGGGTTAACATTTGATCATTCTCAAAATAAAGAAGGAGATTATTTCTCCTTGAACTGTGAATTTAATCAATTCAGAATAAACCTTTGCCCATTTAATACAAATGCTTGCTTCCTACAGACCTTAACTTAAAATTCACAGCAATTTGCCAGATCTGCCAGACCAAAGGAAGACACCACAGTTACCAAGAGAGGACCAAAACAAAGGTGAACCCTACAGGTGAGTAATGTATTTGGTGACCTGCAAAAAACCACATTTCTCATTATGTCATAGTGTTTCTGTATATATACTGTAGAACAAGCCTTTTTATTTTTGTAATGGTGTTTCTTTTTACATCTGTGTTTACACTTTATATATTCAAGATGCCATGGCTTGATATTGTGGCCCAGCAGAACCATTTGTATCCTTATTGTGGCATATCCTTTGGAAGAAAAAGTAAAGGAAACGGGGGCAGTTTATGTGTAGTTATTGTGGCACAATTGGAACTTGAAAACAACTCCACCTGTTTTGTAGTCTAAATTTAAAAAAGACTGAGTGCCTTTCTTTGTTTCTGTAGCTACAGTATGTCACTTTGTTTAGTGGTATTTTGGAGCTCCTCTTTACACTTCCCCTGTTTGACTGAATTTCAGGTGATGGTCGTCGGATGTCATCTTCTTCTTTTATTACTGAATAAAACATATTTTATTAAGATAACTTTTGTCTTGTTTTCTTCCTGTCACAGCTTTGAACATATGTCAACGTTTGTGGGTACACTTCAGTCATACTACCATACATAATTATCTTTAGTCCCAAACTTGCAGCAGAGTAAACACAGACAGGAAGGTATAGCAGATCTAGATTGGCTCTGCGGCAGATGGTAGGCTGTCAACACGGTGGAAAAACCACAGTCCTGAGGAGACAGCAAACAAACCCAAACAGACTGCAGTCTGGGCAATTGCTAGGGCTTGGTTAGCTTACCTTTACGATCCCTGGCTGGCCCCATCTGTGTGATTATAGAGAGTAAACCTCGGAGGGTGAACTTCTCCCCTTGGTAGCTATCATAACTAAAGACTTCAAAATCAAATCTGGTTTTTTAACCTCCTTTGGTGTAAGCAATACTTGGAGTGTACTGGGTGCGTGTCAATCACAGCCAGATATAAAGTTTGTGCTGTCTGATATTTAGACATCACAAGAGTGAAAACATTACATTTCTTTAGTGAACGCCTGTTCAACTGCGTTCAGTATAACACTGCTTTGGTGGTTTGACCACGGACATAAAAGCAGCCGCATGTTTTTATTATGCATAAGGTACTTGGAGTTTGTACACTGTATCTTCCTTTATTTAAGCTTGGGCTGAAAAAAGATCTTGATTCTCGGTTTGCACAGAAATGTGAGCATAAGAGAGACTATGCTGGTGTGTATTTTCCTAAGAGGAGGATTTGAGCTTGCTAGTACACCTACAATAGTATCAGTTAATCACACTGTAACCAATGCAAGGACATTTCTACCTTTTGGACACTCAACATTTTTTAGAAAAACATGTTATAATAAATTATAAAAGTGTAGTTGTAACTAAATTGTTGCAAATTGTTTGCAAATGCTGTTATGATTTTGAAAGAAAATCACTTTTAACACTAGGATTTGAATGAATGTTTTGGTAATTTAGAATGGATTATTTGCAGTGATGGCTTAGTCTTTCTTGAACTGAGTAAGTCTTTGAGACAACAAACCCGCTCTTACTGAATGTGATGAATAATCATTTAATTTATCCCTCATAATGAATCAAACAGTCGTTACCTTCACAGGACCTCACATCCGTTTCTCCCACTTTGATCTAATTCCATTCAGTTATATTTATGTTGCAGCTCAGGAAGCTCAATAAACACAAGTCCATTTTGTATCCCTTTTTAGAATATGTGAAATATATTAAAGCCTAGGAATAATTCAGAAAGCAGCCATGATACCAGCAGCTATTTTAATTAACTGACTAACCAGAAGGCACGCAGCGCTTTGTGTTTAAGCAGGAACATCCTCACAGCTTTTGTCTTGGAGGCTTTGTTGTTACACATGTCCATGTTCAGATTTGACAGCAGGGGGGGGGGGGGGGGGGGGGGGGAGTATTTCAAAGAAAGTTGTCTCCTTTTGAAGAAGCACTTCTGAGTAACTCCATGTAATCCATTTAATATAATGTTTACTTATTTAAAATGGTCATAACATGCTTCCTCTCTCCTCTATAATGAAGATTATTTAGCATCACAGTGGCGAACCGTGGCTATCACAACTGGACCGTCTGTAGACACACCACCTCCTCCTCCTCCGCGGCATTATAATGTCCGTCTTTTCACTGAATTGTCGTCTTGAAAAGGGTACTCACAACAATTCCGCAACAACTTCATCTTCACCTGTTGCACTTGTCATTTCAACATTAAAAACAATAAAACTGCATGAATTGCTTCGTCGCATTCATGTAGATCCTCTGTCTCGAGCCAGTTAACTAGCGGGCCTTCTAGAATACTCTGGAACCGAGGGGAAACTCTGAAAGAATACGCCCATTGGCTACAAATCAATATCTGATTGGTTGATCAAACTGTCAGTCCAAACGTACGCTCTCATTCAGTCCAACGGCCAGGGCATCCTATCAAGGATGTAGAATACCTTGTTGAAGGATGTTCTACCCAGAGACCCAGAACAAGATCTGATTGGTTGCTTTCTTTTCTAACACAAAACCACTGAAATGCGTAGTGCATGGGTGGGGAACCTTTTTCCTCTCAAGTGCCATTTCAATGTTTTCAACATCCTCCGAGGGCCGTACAAATTATTGACCTAGCTTAAAAATACTAAAATCCCAGCCCACTCATTTCACCTTTCTTTCATGCTGTGCAAAGAAAAAGCAACCTCTTAATCCAGATATCTTGCCATGACTCACGCATGCACGTGCACGGTTGTGGCATGACCACCAAAACAGAAAGATATGGACACAAGATGCAGAGATGTTCACAAGTCTTTTTTTGCAAGTCCAAGTCAAGTCTCAAGTCTCTAAAAAATAAAAGTCTCATGTCTCTTCTGGTTGTAATAAGCCTTCTATTGCCTGCTGCTATCCAGTCTGTTAAGAATACTGCACAGCTATATCTAAGAAATTCAAAGCATGTACTGTATTATTATCACTCCTATATATATTAGCATACAGTATCAGTACTGATTAGTTGTTTGTTATATGATCACTTTAAACAGGCTATTGCAATATGAGGACAAACATCACAGTTTAGCTAAATGCAAACAACTTATAAGCAAAACACTTCAGAATCAGAATCACAAATACTTTATTAATCCCCCGCAGGGAAACTGTGCTAAAAGTACTTAAAAGTAAACATTTGTTCTGTGCCATTTGCAACTAAAAAACTATTGCTGCAATATTATCTGAAATATACTGAACTGGTGATATTAAAACATGACCTGTTCCAAAAGAGATATCTACCATTAACACCATTTACCAGCCAAATGCTGGTAAATCATGCAAGTGGCTGGTACTGTATGTTGCACGCACCAGCCAAAAATAACAATGGCAATCTATTGAGTGGCTGGTAACATTTCAACATTCACTAGGCTAGCCATTTGGCCAGTGGACAAAACTGTTAAAATTTGACCTCTGAAACCGTATTGTTTAATTACACTGGGTCTCTAATGACATCTTTTAAGTCTACTATAAATAAACATATTCCTCTATCCTCTCACTCAAACCCAGTGTAATGGTAACCTGATAAACCTGTAACATTAACGTTACGTGGTCAACAATAAACCTGTAACCTGCCTATAAACCGACAGATGTATTTATGTATGTAACTATGTATTTTTCTACGTTTAACGTTAGCCAGTAGATGGTGGCAGCGGAACGTAATGATTAACGTTACCGACCTTTTTTATGTCATGTCAAGAGTTGGATGTCAACGCCACTCAACGCAAACAAGTGTGACAAGCAAACATTCACTCATCTTTACAAATATTCAGTTACAAAGCTAGTAGCAAGCTAAGTTAACATTACATAGCTGATGCTGAGCTAAACATGTTTGCTTACCGTCCATATGCGTTAATGTGACTGACCTCTCCGGGTGAGTTTTCAAGTGCCTGATGAAATTTGACATTGTTGCACCAGCATCCTTGATTTTAATATTGCAGACTTTGCAGTGTGCGCTCCTTTTGTTGGTGCCGCCGGCGTTTTGTTCGAAGTTGTTATAGTTGAACCTAATTACAAGCGGTACAGCTGCAGGTGTGCCGCCGGTCGCCATGGTGTTACCATGATGTTAATGTTAAAGGTGGGGTAGGTAAGTTTGAGAAACCGGCTCGAGATACACTTTTTGTTATATTCCATGGAATGCTCTTAACATCCCGATAGCCGGCCCGGCTAAAGTAACTGGATGGCCTACCTGCCTGTCAGCCTTTCCATCGGGGCACAAACTTATCTCGTGCCCTCATTGGTCATGTGCGCGTTCGTGTGTGTTGGAGGAGGGGCTCTGTGAGGAAGTGGCAGATTTTCTCCGGTTGTGTATTTTCAAATTCTAGCGATCTCGAGCTGGTTTCAAACACTTACCTACCCCACCTTTAATACGCCAAAAATAGAAAACACAATGATTGTTCACGAGTCCCAAAACACGAGTCCAAGTCGAGTCTGAAGTCTTTTGAGCAGGAGTCCAAGTCAAGTCTGAAGTCTCTGTGTGTGCGACTTAAGTGCGACTCGAGTCCGAGTCACAGACTCGAGTCCCCATCTCTGACAAGATGAGTGCAAATGTATTTAGACTCCTATCCATGTGAACATGATTTAAGTGTGGGGGGGCCGGGGGGACCTAACCTCCTCTAGGGGGGTCCGGGGGGCATGCTCCCCCGGGAAGATTTGTTTTTTTAAATGTTGAAGTTAAAAGCATCAATCTGGTGCACTTTGAGAGCAACATTAGGAGCTCTATGGATACATCTCTCAACACCCAGATGAAACACAACTGTAAGCAGATTTTCTTTTTCTTTATGGGTATTTTACAAATCACTCTCCTTTCAAACTGTATTCTTGTTTATTAATAACAACTTTTTTTACTGTCATATAGTATTTTATACCTGTTTACTTTATTCTCTTATTTGTTTTATAACTATAATGATCATATAAAGATGTGCCTTTACCTCACTGGTTGTAGAAAAAGCTTCTTATATTCGTTAGCATAGCTAGCTAACCAGATGCTAATAACAACAAAGTTATTGACTGTATGCTCAGTATGACAGATGAACAGATCGCCACTGGGTTTACAACTAAGACACGCAAAAACTGCAGCATGTGTACGGCTCCTTATGGGTACTGCAATTTTTGGAAGTGCCGGAGCGGAGCGGCGTTCTGGTGCTCTCCGTCAGAACTGCACCCCTGTCGGACGAGACATATACCACGTGATGACACGTTAGGCTTGTGTTGTGTTCAAGGACCCTGACCTTGGCCAGGAAAAACTGGTACTCACTTGTTTAATTATTTTGCGGTCTAGATTTCTTTAATTTTTTTCTTTTTTGCGTGTGTTTATAAATTACCTCGAGGGCCACACCAAATGGTATTGCGGGCCGTATACTGCCCGGGGGCCGGAGGTTCCCCACCCCTGGCGTAGTGCATGGTCCGCGAAGGACAAACACATCAACGTCTCACTCACTGTCATATTACAGATCAACAACACAGATACGATTCTAATTTA